TTGCCTCAGAACCAGCTTTCCGTAGAGATTGCTGCTGTTCTTCAGCACTAAATTTGCAACAGTATCGAGTCAGAGCCTAGCCCCCTCTGCTGGGCCTCTCAGCTGGCAAGCTAGCTCGCTGTTGCTACGCAGTTTTTCCTCAGCTTTTTCCCGCCAAAACTAGGCTGCCTCAGAGCACCTTCATCTAAGTCTCCCCAGTTGGCACGTTCTTCTACTAGTGCACCTCCCCGTGAGGTACACCTAGAAGATTACCTACGCGCCTCAGACTGTCCCTGACTAGACCCCCCTTGCTCTGGGCACACTTGCCAAGGCTTTGCTGGACCGCTGGACAACTGGACCAGTCGTATCCCACACGCTGGACACCAATCAATGTGACAAACCCAGACCTACTGGGATCTGCCACACAGTTACACTAAGCTGCCACCAACCATTCCCTGTAAGAAGTCACACAGACCAGGGATGGATTTTTGAACAATAAAAAGAATAAGGTTTATTTAAATACACACACAGGAAAATAAAATAATCAGGTGAATAAAATAAAGTAACGTGGCTTATTCTCACTCATACAAGCATACAGTTTGGTTCACCCAGAACCCTTAACTTGAAGCACAGACCCTGAACCTATCAGTTCTGGCTAACCAACAGACACCTGAACCTATCAGGTTGGTACTCTGACACACAGTAGTACTCTGTCTGACACACAGACTCCCACAACAGCTTCTTCTTCCCAGCTGCTGCTTCGTCACCTCCCAGTGTCTCTCAGCATCTCCACACACGCATCACATATATATACACTACAGCCCCTCCTCCTGATGTCCCGCCTTCCACTCCCCATAGGATGGAACTTTCCCTCCAAACCCATGACAGACAGGTAACATCAGTGCTGTATGTAACAGTCTAGACATGTGGATAATCATTTATTTGCACAACTGATTTCATCTCCAAGCCACTACAGGCAACATCCGATAACTTCAACTGGAGAACAGAAAAAAATGATTGAAATAAACTCTAATTTGAACAAAATGCATTCCAATATTGAAAATGCAGTGAATGCAATCAAATTATTTTATGCTTCTATATACTGGAATATCAACACAAATTGTCTCAGTCACTGTCAAATAGTCAGCCACTCTACTTGTTCACAATTAACTCCTAAATGCTTGCTGAAAGCACTACTGAATTCATGCTCCAGGTGTTCTTTTTATTGCTTCTGCCCTCTTGTTGCAGTACATGTTTCAATAAAGAAGATACTCCAGTTCATTAAAAACATTAACGAAATGAAGCCTTTCATCCAGTACACAATGGAGTTATTGGCTATTATACTCAATAGCAGAATTAAGTATTCCATTTCCCCCATGCAATATCTTTCCACTTGTGTCTAGGTTGACTACAGTTGTTCCCTTTGGGAGCTAAAACCCTTCATTTCCCTTCAAACCAGTGACCTTGTATGAGTTACAGAAAAAGGAAAGTGAAAAACTCTACCTATGTTAAAAAGAGTCAGACCATTCTTTCACTCCTCAGACCAAATATTTCCACAATTTTAATGGGGCCACTTTCTGATAAGTATATTTTGAGGTTTGCATCATTGTTACAAGAATAATAATTCCAAAGCTTTGTTAATTTTTTGCATTTTTCTTCAGGGTGTTCTTTTTACATGACACTTTCAGGCCCCTTTCTGTCCATTCCAGGCTTCTAATCCAAGGGAACATTTTAAAAAGTAGAAAGGAGAGGATAGCAATCTTCATATTTCTCCTCCTTCTTGTTTTCCCCCAGCCTCCCCAAAATCTTCCCTAAAGTTTATGAAACCTGTGTAACAGCATGAGAATTTTATGCAGAGAGTCCTCCTGCTAATGGGTGGACAACACTGAACTCAAAACTGTGATCACAATCCAACCCAGAGATATGGTACTGTCAGATATAACTTGAGGTGCAATCCTCTGCATATCTGAATATATTCCAGATAAATTAATGGGACTTGCTAATAACCATGCATAGGTTAAATTGCACCTTTGTGCAGAGTTGTTACCTAGCTATATGGGACTTGCTAATAACCATGCAAGTTATATGTTTGAAAATTAATGGTTGTAATCTTGTTGCTTAGTGTAGCAAGCCGCAACTAGAGTATGCCCATCTGAACCAATGGAACTCATGGGGAGGTGATTACCAAATCCCCATTGATTCAGTGGGCCTATTCTAGTGCAACTTACTACATTGAGGAACAGGATCTCAGTCAATATTTCAACAGCTCCATTTGAAACAACACAATTCATCAGAGTGTTTTTCTTTTACCTATTAGCCCCTTTAGACAGGAATACTTAGAAATCTCATATCATTCTTGTCTAAGCTACAAATGACACAAGAAAAATCCAGCTAAGGTTAAGCACTCATAAGCCACATGGATGTTAAGTAGTGGCAGACTTCACTGGAATCAGTATGGTTTATTTAACTTTGTATGGATTTTAGCCATTGTATCTAGGATCATAACGTGTATCAGCCCAACAGAAGTCTCAGTTTTTAACTTTCCCATATATATATATATTTGTTACCTTCCACTGCTATTCGTTTTTCTGCTATTCTGTCCTTTAAAGCTTTGTACACTACACATCAAACAGCCCTTTCTACAGTAGATGGAACTTGGTCTTTTTATACTTTTCTCAATGCTGCCAACATCTGTTACTGTTTAATGTGTAACTTGTAAGGAGAGATTCAGATATTAAGTGTTTTAGTTTATGTTCCTACCGTAGATGGAATGTACAATATCATGGTTAATTAGAGTAGCATAGTACATTATGAATGCCTTTTTCCCATTAAGACTTTAATGGAATGTGAACATTTGCTGATTTCCTTGGTTAATTGTAAATGCTGAATTGTAGTCCTGAATAGTTGCATTTTTGTCTGTCTCAATAAATTTTAATTTGTCTGCGACTCCTTTGCTTTCTGACATTTGTTTTATTACAGTTACTAACTTCAAGAAAATAGCCTTCTGCATTTTTCCTATAATGAACAACGTACAACAAAGTCTGTGATGAAAATGGGCACTGTATTGACCTGGAAGGTGGATCTGAACTTACTTCCAATCTGTCTTTTGTGCTTTAATAACCATCATATGACTACCACTGCCATAATTGGTGGAGATGTGAGATGTATCTGATGTACAGTACCTTTAGATTCATTGAACTAAGCATGCACATAGCACTCAAGAGTTCTGTGTTTGTAACTCTGGCCCAATCACCAATCAACTATGGCTTCTTTTCCCCCTTTCTTCAAATGTATGACCAGTAATTATCTAATTGCAGTTGCACTCACGCTGGAGCAGATAGCCAAATCCATTACGTGTAACTTCTGCTTTCAAGGACATATGCCCCTAGAGGGATTGTGGAAACTGTGTTCTTAGCCTGGGTAGCTGATGCCACTTCATAACACACAGCCTTTATTTTCAGTAGAAGTAGTGACTCCTACAAGCAGCATAGGACAAACTTCATGAATTCCCCAGGGAAGACTTCATTTTCACTGTGCCTTGCACAAGAAAATTTCCTAGTTGGCCATGTCCTATGTCATTATCTGCACCAATCAGTTTACATATCATTGCCTAAATTATGCAGCACAGAAGAAAGAAAAGGAAATACTGTTGCTATAATCTCAGCAAACCAACACCACCAGAACAGAAAGAATAACCTGCAAACTTGCAGCTCTGAGGATATGATAGATTTGGAGGTGACTATATGAAAAGCACACACTGATGATCAACCACAGGTATGTATGTATGTATGTATGTATGTATGTATGTATGTATGTATGTATGTATGTATGTATGTATGTATGTATGTATGTATGTATGTATGCATGTATGCATGTATGCATGTATGTATGTATGTATGTATGTATGCAATATGCCAGCCAACTAGTGAATTCACACTACTTTGAGCTTGTATAAAGAGGAACAAGAGCTCATAGATCCTTATGCCAATAATCTCCCAGTTGTCTTTACAATCTTACTTCCTAATTAAACTGGAAAAAACCCTTAATGATGATTTCCAAAGACAATGAACAGAAATGTAAGGAGTCCAGCATAATTGGCCATAGTATTGATCATGAAATATACAAGGTGAAAAGGTTTCAAAGTGCAGGTAAATGTAAAATTATTTAAAACTTCACCTGTTTCCAAATAATGGTGGGTCATCAACAACTCATATACTGCCTATTAATTTTGAAAATAGAGAAATGATCACATCCAAAGTAAATTCTCAAATGTAAAAAAACAATATAGACCACATAACAGACCACACATAATGTCATTAAACAACACAAACACATACAGAAAGAAAGTTCAACAATTTTGGCAATGAGGAGCACAGGATCTCTTTTTCCCATTTTCTTTCTCTTGTGAGCGATTCACTATAGAGCCACATTTCTTTGCAGCATCATGTATTTTGGCAGGCTGTCTTTCTCTGACAGTGCCTGGCATATCGATTCCTTGTTGGCTTATAAGAGAGAGAAAAATACTGCTGGTTATAAATAGCCCTCTCCCCCCCCCTTCCAACTCAGGCCATGATTGGTACTTCCTCCTTATCCATCTCAGCCACTTTCTGCTATGAGCACAGAGATGCAAAGAAAAGGATTCTTAATTTCTCCTTTGCCATTAAAAAAGGCAAAAGGGGCTGGGGCAAGTTTATTGACAAACACACCTCAAGTGCTCCATGTTTTCCTCTGTGTTTTGGTTTAAAACAGGGAGGCTGTAGCTGACAAGCACACAGGGGAAATGCCACCAGATTGCTCTGCTGTTCCAAGAGTCATTGCTATGCCTGGTACTGGGCTGATCTGGCACATGCAGCCCATGCTGGAAATGGTTTAGGACTTGCTCAGGTCAACATCGTATTAATAATAACTATCAACGAGGACTTGCAGGTAGAGCAGCTCAACCTTTGCCTACACAAATGTCTTCTGACAGGAACATTTTCATGCTCTTCGGAAGTACCAGAAGATACTAAAGCCATTTCAACATCTCAAAGCAGCAGCAGGTAACCTCATATAATACTGATTTTATATTTACCCATCCAACTCTAATGAGGATGATGGTGGTGGCAGCAATGATGTGCCATCAAATTGATTTTGGCATAAAGCAACACTCCCAGAGTTTTCTACATACAGTATAAAACACTCCGAAAGTGTTGGACCAGTCCCTCTCTCTGGTGGTGCTCTGGGTCCATGCAGCATGCTCAAGACTACTACAGGCTAACTTTGCTTCTGTGAGGCTCAGAGCAACATCTAACTGCAGATTCCCAGGTCCACACCCAGGTGTTCAAACTCCCTGACCTACCTAGTCAAATGCCACTCTAGCCAGGCTATTAAAAGGTGGCCAGCTGCATCACAGTGCAGGCAAATCTTTAAATATTCAACTCACAATAAAAGCAATGCAGTGTAGGCAAATGATATCAATATTTGAATTTACATTATGGATTTCATATATCAGATCTGCATTTTCATTTCCTGATCCTGCAAATGATACAAAGCGGCAGCCTGCTTACACACAGAGCTCACCTTAGTTGGTCTCAGGTAACTGCTTTGATTCCTCCCCCCCACAAGAAGAGAGAAGTTGTTAAGGGGAGGGAATCACAGCAAAAGCAGAAACTAGTGAAGCTGAAATCAGCCATCTAATCATCCGTTCTGGGTGCGAGTGCTCCTATGCACAACAAAGCACCACTATGCAGATTAAAAAAAAAAAAAGAATGTTGGAAAGAATATGTCCTCCCCTCTTGTATTGACTCATAATCCTGAAATAAACTACTGATTTGGAGAAAGGTGGTTCCTGATTGGCCCCAGGCACTTCTGTGTCTGTCTCACTTTTAGCTGTCTTATAGATAGTAAAGATGTTACTCATAAGCAAAGCTACTGGAATTTGAAACTACAGCAACATACAATACACTGAAACACATTTCCTCAGAAATAAATGCCAACATGTTCAAATGGTGCGCAAGACAGCTGTCATTGACATGGAACTGAGTAGACTGCAGATGGACATTGTTGCCCTGCAAGAGACAAGACTGCCAGACTCGGGATCTGTCAAAGAAAAAAACTTCTCATTTTTCTGGCAGGGAAAACCATCGAATGAGACCAGGGAATATGGTGTTGGCTTTGCAGTCAGAAACACTCTCCTGAGATGCATTGTTCCACCCACTGTGGGGAGTGAAAGAATCCTGTCTCTGCAGCTCCACTCATCAGCAGGACCAGTAACCCTCATTAGTGCATATGCACCAACACTGTCATCCACTCCAGAAGTGAAAGACAAATTCTACGACGATCTGGCAGCTACTATCAAAAAAGTCCCTGAAAGAGAGTCACTGTTCATTCTTGGAGACTTTAATGCTAGAGTTGGTGCTGATCACAATTCTTGGCCCACTTGTCTAGGCCGTTTTGGCATTGGAAAGATGAACGAAAATGGCCAACGCTTACTGGAGTTTTGCTGTTACTATGGTCTCTGTGTCAGCAACACATTCTTTAATACGAAGCTGCAACACAGAGTTTCCTGGAGACATCCAAGATCCAAGCATTGGCATCAGCTCGATTTGATCCTCACTAGACGTTCTAGCCTTCCTAGTGTTACGATCACACGCAGCTACCAGAGTGCTGAATGCGATACTGATCACTCCCTGGTGTGTAGTAGAGTAAAACTGCGAACAAAGAAATTGTATCACATGAAAAAGGAAGGAAGACCACGTATTGACATCAACAAGACTCGCGATCAAAGAAAAGTGAAGGAATTTGCCCAAGCACTCGAGGAAACCCTTCCAGGTCCAGCTAATGTAAATGCACCTGAACGATGGGAACACTTCAAGAACACTGTCTACAACACCGCCTTGTCCACCTTCGGCAAGAAGACCAGAAAGATGGCTGACTGCTTCGAAGCCCATTCGGAGGAGTTAATGCCAGCCATTGAGGATAAGAGAAGAGCTCTAGCAGCATACAAAGCCTGTCCTAGCGAGTACAACCTGCAAGCTCTTCGAGCCGCTCGTAGCCAAGTCCAACAGGCTGCCAGGAGATGCTCCAATGACTATTGGCTTCAGCTTTGCTCTCAGATACAGATAGCAGCGGACACAGGTAACATCAAAGGAATGTATGATGGTATCAAGCAGGCCTTAGGTCCATTACAGAAGAAATCTGCTCCCTTAAAGTCTACTACAGGTGTGATCATCCAGGACCGAGCACAGCAGATGGAACGCTGGGTGCAGCACTACTCCGAGCTATATTCCAGAAAGAATGTAGTAACCGAAGAAGCATTAAATAACATTGAGTGCCTGCCTGTCTTGGAAGAGCTGGACAGCGAACCAACCCTAGCAGAAATAAATGCGGCCTTGGATTCCCTCACCTCTGGCAAGGCACCTGGAAGGGACAACATCCCTGTTGAAGTGCTGAAATGCGGTAAGGAGATCATCATCACCGAACTGTATGAAATCTTTTGCCTCTGCTGGAGGGAAGGTGGAGTACCACAGGACATGAAGGATGCAAACATTGTCACATTGTACAAGAACAAAGGTGACAGGGGTGACTGCAATAACTACCGTGGTATCTCTCTTCTTAGCGTTGTAGGGAAGCTGCTTGCCCGTGTTGTGCTGAAGAGGCTCCAGGTGCTTGCAGACAGAGTCTATCCGGAATCACAGTGTGGATTTCGAGCAAATAGATCCACCACTGACATGGTATTCTCCCTCCGACAGTTGCAGGAGAAATGCAGGGAACAACAACAGCCACTCTTAGTGGCCTTCATAGACCTTACAAAAGCATTTGACTTGGTTAGCAGGGATGGCCTTTTCAAAATACTTCCCAAGATTGGATGTCCACCTCGTCTCCTTAACATCATCAGGTCCTTCCACGATGGAATGAAAGGCACTGTAGTTTTTGACGGCTCAACATCAGATCCCTTTGACATCCGA